CCACTAACCACCAGGGAGCCCCCACTGGCAGCAATGGAGCCCCACTAACCACCAGGGAGCCCCCCACTAACCACCAGCGAGCCTCCGCTAACCACTAGCGAGCCCCCACTGGCAACAGTGGAGCCCCCACTAACCACCTGGCAGCCACCACAGAGCCCCCACTAATTATCATGGAACCCCCACTGACCACCACAGATCCCGCACTGACCACCACAGAGCCCGCACTGACCACCACAGAGCCCGCACTGACCACCACAGAGCCCCAATGGCCACACGATAGTCCGCATTGGCCACCTGAGAGCCTAATTAGGGAGCCCCTCCGCTGCACCCGCACGCACTCATGAAACTCTCTGGACCCCTGGTGAGAGCCCGCGCAGCCCACCTAAGAGCTCACACTGGCCACGTGAGAGCCCCCACTGGCCACCTGAGAGCCTGCACAGCCTCCTGAGAGCCCGCACAACTCTCCTGGGACCCCAGAGACATCAGGCGGTGAACCCGGAACAACATAGACTATGTAGCTTCATATTATTCTGCATTGCTGTATTATGTATTGCTGGGACTTGTAGTCCTATATAGGTGATGCCATTCGGCATTGTTGTATAATGTATTGCTGGGAATTTGTAGTTCTCTATAGCTGTTGGTATTCTTCATTGCTGTATAATGTATTGCTTGGAATTGTAGTTCTCTATAGCTGTTGGTATTCTGCATTGCTGTACAATGTATTTCTGAGATTTACAGTCCGCTATAGCTGATGGTATTATTCTGCATTGCTGTATAATGTGCTGAGATTTGTAGTCCCTCTTCAGCAGTCATGCACGCGCACAGCACTGATGAGGCATCCTTCCCTTTAATTTTCCTCAACCCATAAATTTCTCTACCGCGTCACTTCCAGGTGTGCATGTCATGAAGAAAGGGGGTCATGAAAACAGCTGATTCGGGTAACTTGGCCCCACACGAGAAAATGTATAGGCGGTCTACAGTGGGCGAGAGTGCCTAAGTACTGGATATGGAGCGGAGTAAGGCCAGAACCATGTAGGGAGCTCAGTTGGACGAGAGCACCATTCCCCAGCCAGTCACCCCTTTCATGGACTCATTAGTGAGTCCTCACATCACCCGACCATTCACACCGTTACATGAAAGGCAAAAGTGGCAGGCATGGGCAGGGAGAAGGCATGAGGGGGGGCCAATTTGCTGCACCACGGGCCCCTGGGTTGTACTTGCTCCCTGGCTAAAAGACCCCCAGTTTTGACTGTGGTATCTCTTGTGCCCCCCTATATATTGTTCATAGAGTTAACCACTGAGCACATAACACACAAATAGAAGGGTTTTCTTAATTCTGAGTGCACAAGTGTAAATACATTTTAAAATACCTTCACACAATGTGGTGTGTGTTACGACCTCAGACCAAAATGATTGTATACAATCACTTAAAATGAATGGATCCCTTATAAGCAGATAAAATAAAGTATATTTACATATACTAAGCTGGAGTTATCCTGGGTAGTAAATGCACCTGGTATAGTGACTATAGTTTTAGATTTTGACTATAATATTACTTCACTTGAACCTACCACTGCAGATGGAACTTAAAAACATTACAATGTTCTTTTATATTCATAATTTAGGAAAATGTAGGCAGCAAGGGATGTGCAGGAGAAAGGGGCCATTTGTATTATTTTACATTCAGAATATAATATACATTTGGAATTCTTCAAACCTGACCTACTGTATATATAAATATACTATATATATATATATACAGTTTCTTTAAAACTTCAGTTTTTGCTTGGCAGGTGCAAAAGTACTGCCAATGTGTTTTCTTTGATGATTAATGGTAATAAGCCTGAGCCTTGATGGCTACAAAAGTTCCACTGACGAAAGAAATAATGAAATGTTTAATTACACACAGCCCTGGGATGCACATCAGAGAACAGCAGTAATTCTGTGATCTAATTTCTCATAAGAAATAACATTAGGACTGGCTATGGAAAGCTGACTCTGTTTGGAAGAGTTCCTGATCTGCTAAGTGGATTTCTCATTTTAACAAAGTAACACAAAATCAGGCTCAAGGAGAAAAAAAGCTCTTTCATTCTATTAAATCTTCTTGTATTCTCATTTCCTGTTCTCCTTGAGAAGTTAGCTACATGAAGAAATCTTAGAGAGGTCTAATTAGATGCCAATCACCACCTGCATATTTAAAGTTGACATGTCTTTCAATATAAGGACCCTATGCATGATGCTTCCAGTTATATTGTACAATGTTGTGTTAAGTATGTTTAAATTCGACAATGTCAGTTTCCCCATGCACGGCAAATTGAATGTGTCTTGGCAAAGGAACTCCTGTCAGTTTTGTTATTACTGTCAGTGTTCCCATAGCGGCCGCCTGGGTCGCTATGGTGATTGTTACGCCACTGGTCAGTGTCCCACTAAAGGATATTACGCTAACCATACACTAGTCATTTTTTCTCATTCAGTCCCATGGACGGAATGATAAAAAAATGCTCAATTCCCCCATCTACGCTAAACAGTGTGGATGGGGGAATCTTCCCTGATGGCGAATGTATTGTAGCTGGCAACCATAGCTGTTAGACTACCCAAGCAGTGAGTGCAACTGATTGGCTGCATTCACTTTTTGGCTGACAACTGGCTGACTTAATTCAAGAACTGTATGGCCAGCTTTACTGCATCTCCATTGAACATGAACACCATTCTGGACACAATCATGTTGCAATGGAGCAGCATACCTCCTTCTTTAGAAGTGCAAATTTTAATTTAGCAAAGTCCAAATCACAATCATATGCAGAACAGGGTGCTGGTGACATATTCTACCCACTGGGGAATTTTTTTCTTACTGACAGGTGACAGGAGTGTAAATCCCCACAAATTAAGGGGAAATTTCACCCTTGACAGTTGTCATCGGTTATACAAATCATAAAGGTAGATTTTCTTAACAGGGACACAGTAATAAAATCAATGATAATGACAGAGGTTTTAGCCATTCCACTCTCTATCTAAAATTAGATAAAATGTTTGACCAGCATTCTACATTAAGGCAGAATAGTTTAAAAATGTCTTAGCTGCTTAACCTGTGGGGTCATCAAGAAACGGGCTGAACAGGCCCAAACCTTTCCAAGGGGATTCTGTAGTGTGCCCAGGACATCTGCATCACATATTGTCCTCTTGATTGGCCCTGACACCTCCAGGTACCACTCAAACTCTTGTGTTTATAAACTATAAAACTATATAATAAACTTAAATAGTTTACTTACCATCATCATTATCTGCCAGAATAACTACTTTGGCACTGGAGAATTCAGACACTACTTGGCCACCCATTGGCATACTTAAGGTGACATTGAACACCTCATCTTCTTCATAAAGGGAGTCATCGATTATGATAATGCGACAGAATTTTTCCGTTTCATCCTTGTCAAATCGGACAATGCTGGTGTGGTCATCTGGGCGAGTGATATAATCGGAATATGACAAAACCGATGTGGGGACAGTACCTGTAGCTGAACCTAAGTGATAGACCAGAACATTTCTATCAACATTTATAAGATAATCTGTAGAAGAAAACACTTAGATAAAAAAGACTAACAATATATAAAACATGTCCTTAGACTATTAGAGATAGAATTGGAAACATATTTAACAAAAAAAGAAATTGCTGAATAGTGAAGAAGCCCATAATAGAAATGAAAAGGCTGCTACAATGCTACTCAACAGCAGCTGCCAAAAACAGAAATCCAAACCCTAGATCTTATGTTTCAGACATTTTGTCGTAATCATAAAGACTGATTTTAAAAAGCATACAGCTTCCAGCTGGAACATTAGCTGCAGCTACTACAGTGTATTACAGCGTCTTCCAGGTCCCTGCTACAGCCGCCATGCTCAGGGAATTCCCTGTGCTATTACTTGCACAGAGAGTCATTGGTGTGAGACTTCAATTGGGCTTTATAACAGAGAGATTAGAAATGTTCACATGTGTTACATGTGCATTAAGACTCTAATCCTTTATCTCCTGGAGAAATTTGTAGGAAGAAAATATTTGCAGAGCAACTTGATCCCAGATATTTTGAAGTGAAAATCTATCTATAGAGCTCCAAGAGATAGATTTCAGAATTTCGACTGACTCTCACCAGACAGTGTGCTGTGCTATGCTGATCCTCTGAGGGGCAACTGGTGGGGACAGAGAAATCCTTGGTGTATGTAACGCTACTGCATGTGTACTACTTATGACACATTTTATGGGAGATTTGGCTACTACGAACAGTACTCCATTACATTATATTGCTTACTGCCAACTTAAAAAAGAAAGCAATAACACATCATTACTTCCTCACGAATCCAAAAAGCAAAGTGGTTTTTTTTTGTCATTTAAGCTTGATACCCATAATAGCTTAAGATGTCATTCTTTTAAGCCTGTGCATTCTAGTTTAAAGAAAAGTTACAGTGGATCTAGAACAAGTGCATAGTGTACCTAAGTGGGGAAAGGCATGGGTAGTCATCCAGCAAGGGGCACATTGCAGAACATACAATAATCTCAATTAAAAAAGCTAACACCAGGGCAAGAATCATAATTTTTCTTTTTAAAGTGATAGTTATTTTCAGTCTAGCCCAATGAGACTGGAAAACTACAGTCACGTGGCTGAAAATCAAGATTCTTATGTAAAAATATGTAAATTGAGTCCACTTAAAAGGCTTGAAAGTGGGAAGGGTGAAAACAATTATATAATCTTGAGGAAAACTTTGTTTTAGCGGTTTTATGGCTTTTATCAAATTCAGTTCAGTCAAGGAAGGCTCAATGACACAGTATTCAAAAGCTGAGACCATTTCACATTGGTTATAACTTACCTTGGTGAGTTGAACAGACAACCATAAATTCTTGACTAACGTCCCCTGATCTTTTAACAGGTATTAGTAATTCTCCAATATCTTCCTCGACTTTATACTCAGCTTGTGGTATGTATACAGTAGATTCTAGAGAAAGAAAACCAAAGTTGGTATTAGTACAGTCAATGTATAGATTACAGTGAATGGATGTTTGAACAGTTGCTTAAGATAATTTACTTTGATCAGCTTTATCAATGTATTTTAACACGGAGAATGACATTTCCAAGAACTACAAATACCTGGCCAGCGCTGGCATACATTTTCTACACAAAGGCTGCTGACTCTTAAAGGACAACTTAACTTTTAAAGAAGTTCTCTTTTACAGGTTCATCCGTGACCCCCTTCCTGTCACAGGGTAACCCACGTAGCAGAATAGCCAGTGTTGCACATCCTTTTTGTAAGAAGATTGATCCTATTGCCCATGTACACCACTCACATTTGAGTGCCAAGCAGTGCCAAGCAGTGCCAAACAGTGAATATCTCTGGAGTGAGGCTGAAGGATGATGTTTTGCTATGTAGGTTACACTGTGGGGGAAGCAGTAAAGGACAGTTTCTCTACTAGTGAAGTTGACTTTTTATCAGCCAAACAAATTAGATTGTCATTTTTAAGAAGCAACATGTTGTGTGCCAAATGACATCTCATAACAGTTGAGTTCATTAGGGAGCCTGTTCCAAACACAATTGTTTTAACTCAAGACAAATGGCTGCATTAGCATTTGGCTGCATCCCGTATCCCCTCCTCTCTGGGATAAAGGATGCATGGCTCTAGCAGTATCTGCCTGTATCACTTACCACCTTCTCTGTGGTATGATGGACGAGAAGCTTCAACATCATCTGTCTGCATCACTTACCTCCTTGTCCCTGGTCTTACAGATAAGTAGCTTCAGAAGCACCTGCCTGTATCACTTACCTCTGCCTCTCTGGGCTGTACTCTGGAGTACTCTGTAGTAATCAAGAGATTTGCTGTCCAAAGGGCAGTTGGACCATGCCTGCACATCCAAATACCCCCTGAGGTCTATTAGAGCATTACTAAAGGCTGCAGGTGGTTTGATCAGATTAAGAGCAGGAAGAGTTTCCTGCCTTTGTTTACTGATTAAATATTTGCTTATCTATACTTGAATTTGATGCAATTGTAATGAAAAGAAAATGGTCTCTGTAAGTTAACATTTTTAAATAAAAGTGCAATTAGAAAGCTATTAAATGGTTCGTTTCAGCAATAAAATTATAAGCGTTCCATTACGTTTCAAAGTAAGCAGCACCAAGGGATAAAGCTGCAGAGAACTAATCAGCATCAATACGCAGATGTATGTTGTTCCACTGTCGCTACACTATGGTGAGTGAACAAAAATATTACTTAAAATTACTAATTTTTAATTAAAATATTTCCTATTAAATATAAATCATTATTAAAGAGTCCATTGACAGTAGTGATAATGTTAACAACTCTCATTAGTTGTTAATTTAATATCATTTGATAGTAATACATACCATCGCCTGGGTCCACAATCTCCACAATCGCTTCGTGAGGGAACTCCAGTGCTGCCATAACAGGCTCAGAGAGGATAATCTGGAAGGTTTCAGATTCCTCGTATTCATCATCGGCTATTATCCTGACCTTCCATGTGGCCGTTGTTTGTCCAGGGTTAAACTGCACTTGCTTCTGTGCTTTTCCTTTAAAGTCTTTATCTTTAATTGCTGCACCATCCTTTGTATTGATACCTTAATGAGGAAAATGAAAAGGGGTCATCCTTTTAAAGAACAAATAAGAAGGATAAAAGCCTCCCTGTGTGGCCTCTGTGGGGCAGCATTTAGGATGTATAATGTTTGTAACAAGTTGAACATGACTGACCGTCCATCCAATCAGTCACATAGGCAGGTAGTCCTACTGTGTGCTGTTTACATGGAAGTACTGTGCATGTGATAATTTATAAGTGCTGAACTACAGCTACCAGTATTCTATAACATTGCATCCCTTGCAGCTGTATTTTAATAATTTTGGTGGGGTAGCTCACATCGCATTACATTTGGCAACTCAAAACTGATGGTTCATTTATAGATGATTAAATCCTCCAGTGCTTTTAAAAATTTCTCTGGATACCATCTTCTAAATGTTGCACGGTGAAAATGTTTGCAAGAACTGGGATACTTTGCGTTTATTTTTTACATTTTTTATATGTATGGGAAGAAGGGGCCAGTAGATTGGCATTAGGTATGTAAGCTTCCTTTAGTATTGGATTACTGTGAATTGTTTGGGAAAATAAGTGGGCACTTTATATGATATAGGATCTCTCTAGCTCTTCTTGGGGTGTACACATATGGCAAAGTTTATTCTTTTCTTCCTAATGTGAAAATGGGATAATCTGATGAATTCTGACATGGTTTGGGTGTGGTGTCCAAGCAAGCACAGAAACCCAAAAGCTACTCACAAGACACATGGTATAAAAAACAAACAGTGGTCAACAGTATCTATCAATTACTCAACACTCAATAATTACTAAGAATACGTCTGGCCTTAATAATAAAACTAACTAAGAGTAATGGGAGGAATTGATCAAAACTGGAGCAGATTTGCATGGTAACCAATCAGCTTCTCTCTCTCATTTTCAAATCTTAACTGAGCAAATTGAAGAGATGCTGATAGGTTGCCATGGGCAACTGCTCCAGATTCTGTCTGCTCCAGTTTTGATAAATTCCCCTCTATATCTTTAACCTCCTTAGCATTATGTTTCCCCCGAGAAAAATGTGCAACAAAAGTGTTTCTAAAAAAACAAGTTAACATACACATTTTTGGCTTGAAAATGACTTAACCTCTTTGGGGTTACCCATTAGCTGCAAGATTCTGAGCAGTGTTCAGAATGGCTGAGCAGAGGAGGACTAGCAAACTTCTTCTGTCTGAGTTGTGACCCCAGAAGTACCGTGCTCTGAGCAATTCCAGGATTGCAGCTGTCAAATTCTGACAGCTGGCGGCCAGGAATATCAACTAACTGAGTATTGTCACTGCTTGATTTGTATGGAAGCATTGTAGGGGAGACATCGGGGGTCTATTAGACCCTTGACGTCTACCTTTCACTTCTGCCAAACAAATAGTACACACAATACTCATTTTGCTCCTTTCCTGGCCACAGACAGCAAGGATCTGACAGCCGCAAACCCAGAATTGCTCAGAGCAGAGTGCTACCAGGTTAACAACAAAGTGAGAGGATCAGTGAATGGATGTTCACCAGTCCACCTCCCTTCAAAATCCAGAACATCCCCCGTCTCAGTGGCATTAACCACAAGCATTACCGGGGTTCAGAATTGCATATAAAAACACCTAAGTTATGTTCAGAGTTGACTAATTTTACATAGAACTGTGAGCCCAAATAACACTCGTGGCTAAGACCAAAAGGTCTAGCTGTGGTTCTAAACCATATCAGGCTTTCAAGGCACAAGGCTCTCTTCCCAGGCTGAGTTATCGAGAGTCTTGTGTTAGCTATGATGTTAATGTAGCTAGCCAATACAAGTGTTACACTTTACCAAACATACTATTCCTGATATATTCCATAGCAAACATAAGACTACACTTTAACTCAGAGCCCCAAAAACTATTAAAGCTGAACTTCAAGCAAATACACAGATAAAACACATATATTGGAGCTGTTTTACCTGCAAAAGAATTTCGGTTCTGAAATGTATACAGCTTTGCCACATAGCATAGCCCTCTCTTTGTAGAGTAGAAGACCTGATATTTTCTGCTGCATTGAAGTTACACTAACAGGTCTTGTCTCTTCCCCAGCATGTGACAGGACAGTGAAGGGAGAATCAGCAGAATTCTCTGCTACCTCAGCAGAATCAGCAGACTGTTGAGATCATCTTGTTATCACTCTGCTGGCTCCTTTTATCAGCATGTTTGTTGTCAGCACATGATCATTGCAGTACAGCTGCCTAGCTCCTTGTGCTGTTTCTACTTCTTCCAGTCTAAACTCTGTACAGTGGACTGCAAGGCTCTAATACCAGCTTAAATGCAGGTATTTACACTGCTTTCATTTAAGAAAATACATTAAGGATGTATTAAAGTAGAACTTTATAACTATATACGGTATATAGAACAAGATTAATCAAAAGGTTGCAGCACACCACAGTAGTTTAGCGAAACAATTTACAGAAGTAAATTATATAAAATATTGCAAACGTTTTGGACCAAAACGACTAGCCCTTGCTCTGGCAAGAAACACAACTAGTACTCCATTAAACATATATCCTACATATAGTTATTTTTTTTAACTATATGTACAACCTAAGGCACAAAGGGTGTACTAAGATCAATGATTCAATACATCTAAGCTCTCTGCTTTGCTCTGTTGTTGTGTCTGTCCAACTTTGAGCTCTATGTTGGCAATTACTTACTGACAAAAGAGGTTTCACCAAGGTATCCTCTGCGTTTCAGTGTAACTTCAAGGAACTTGGCATCTTCATCTATAGTATACTGATTTCTCTCCAAGGAAATCCAAGCCCAGTTGAGACGAAATGGCTGACTTCTAAGTTTATTACCGCC